CAGGTTAGTGTTATATATTTAATTTGGATGTTACAAGTTGCACTGAATAAAGGTGGATTAAATAAAAACTGTATATATTTCAGGCTTAAAAGTGACAAAATGTAATCATTTTAAAGGGGGGTGATTCTTTTCTATACCTATTGTATATTCCCTGAAAATGTGTCATACTGTATACAGTATACTTTAAACCATGCTTTAGCTAAGCATTTGTCACTGGTCTTTATCAGATAGTATGCAAGAGATGGAAGGAGTTTTTTAAATAATGTAAAGGAAAGAAGCCACTAGGAAGCCTGCTTTGGTTGCTGAAATTCAATATGGTGAGAAGCAAAAATGAATGCACGTTCCTGCCAACACCTCTGGTAAATTCAGGCTATATACACATATATAGAAACTATTTTACCACCAAAATGATTTGTAATTCTGTGCTCCTAGTTTGTGTATAATATAGCCCTCCTAGATAGCATAGCCAGACCCTCTACATTCACTTCTTCAGCAGTTTGGCCACGAATACCGGTCAATCGGCAGGTGGGGGTGTGTTTTTGACCATTGGAGGAGCAGAGCAGTTTGCTGGCTGCCAGTGTTAGGGTCTGTTGGCGGGCAACGCAATAAATGCATTCATGTTAACCTGCTGCATTAGCAAAATCCATTCATTTGATTGGTCTGCCCAACACATAACAGACCAAAAATCATGCATGCTGCAAATTAAATGAATGGGACACCACAACACGTGTGGTACAGTAATACATGGCAGGGGTGTGAACAGACACTTAAACACTATAAATGTGTGAGTTAGTGAGCGCACCATATAAAGCTGCTAATGCACAAAAAGGAACCAAAAAGCCTTTCTAGGAATATAACATAAAATAGGGTGTGCAGCACTATACAAATATAACACACTGTCATAAATATGACAAAAAGTAGAAAAGGTCCTATAAACTGAATAATAAACAGTCCAAGGTAATATGATATCAGTCCAAATGGGTATATTCCAGTGATGGAGTATATATGACTTCAATCCAAATGGGTATATTCCAGCATCCTAACATGAAGGTGTAGAAAAATTGCCCACTCACCGGAAGTGCAATTTAATGTGCACAGCCCGGAGGTTCCGGGAAGGTACAGCCTGATGATAAAGGTATCCTCTGGTGGTTAATGGGGTGACTGCTGCCAGAGATGATGGTCTGGACCGATATCCCAAATCCTCCAGCCTGGGTGGACTCCTAAAATGCTGGGCTGAGATGTGGAGGCTCAGTGCCAGGTAATAGAGATGAAAACGCTCATGGTGTAGTATTGTGAAATGTATTTATTTGGGTAAAAATCATTAAGGTAAACAGTAGACATACAGGGTGATAGTAACCTATACAAATATAGTGTGAATGAGCTCTTGAATGCACTGACCAGTGTGTAAAAATGATGCCCACCGGACCTCCTGATCCGGTGGCGTGACGTCAAGGCGTGCAGAGGCTCCTCCTAGACGCGCTTCGTGTAATAACACGTCTCCTGTAGGGGTGATGCCATGAACACTTAAACATGCAACAGCTGGTAATATTAAACAGCATACATCCACTGTATGTGGATTCACAATGTCTAGGGGCATATTTTTAAAGCAGAGAATTTTAGACCTTTGCTGGTGGTGAAGCAATCACTGTCAATTTAAAATGTATGCACCAGAAAGGTGTACTTACAGTAAATGGTGAATGTCAGATTATAGCCAAAGTTTAGGTAGAAAAAAAAAAAAAATCATACACTGCATCGATTACATTCCTGGGGAAGGTCTGATTCACCTAGTTGCCCTCATTGTACCACGAATACAGATACCATTATTTACATGTTATGGAGTTGCCTGAAATCTCAGTTATTAGTCCACCATTTTTCAGATGCTTATCAGTATTTGTTCTACACAAGTCACTATACATCCTAAATTAGCTATACTGGGCATTAGCCCAGAAGTTCTTCCAGCTGATTTTAGTCTATTGTGGATAAGGGCTCTGTTTTAAGCACGTAAATTAATACTGCAAAGGTGGCTCTCATCCTCTCCTCCCACTTTGTTACCATGCAGAGATGCTGAGAAGGGAAGAATTGACATATACTGTAAGCATAGGGGTTGCCCCCCCCAAATTTTTTTTTAAATATGTGAACCATATAGTTATCATCTACAGAATCAATGTATGTTTCCTCAGAGATCTCTCCTGTTTAAAAGGCATATGCTGTATCTATACTGGGCTGATGAAATTTTCAAGTCTCAAATTCTAACATGGTTACCTTTAACATGGCCCCAACTATTCCTTAGTTGAGTGGCTGCGTTCATGTCTTTGTATCAGCTGGAGTATGTTTAGGTTTATGGTGCGAACATGAAAGTCACAATGTAAGGCACCTTATTAGTTTTCTTTTCTTTCTTTGTGAAGTCACCCGCTGAGCATGGTTTTGTTTTTTGATGTAAACTTGAAAAAATTACATGATATAAAACAAAAACCAAAAAACAGCAGGAGGGACATTACTTACCTTTAGTAGGAAGTGTCCTTTGTGCTGCTGTAGTCTCCTTTAGATGAAATCTTTTCCCTTTGATGCCAATCCACCCCACCCATCTTCTAGTGCAGTGGGGGTTGATGCAACTAAGGGGCTATCACAAGTTCTTATCAAGAAAATCAGGCTATGCCCACCCTTTCCACCCTTATTCACCATTCATAGAAGCTCTGATACAACTTCTATGAATGAAACAGGATCTAAGAATGGAGGACAGGCAGATGATTGATAGCTCTGCCGCCTTCATTCAAAGATTGTGTTTCATTCATGCAAGCTGTAGTAAGGCTGACATTTACACACCTCTGCCATACTGCACAACCTGGTTTTTGACCGATGTTGTCTGTACTACAGTTAAGCAATACAGAATGGTCAACTCCCTACCTATTATTGGACAATGAAGTAACAGCAGCAAAATGATTAAATCATCTCTCTCTGTTCATCAACAAAGTACTGACCCTCCCTGCAATACAACAGGTCATAGAAGGATATATCAAGACACATTTAGGTATTTGCACCAGCTGCATTTAAAAATACATTTCATGATTTTTTTTTTTGTTAATGCATAATTAAATGATTGGGGGGGGAGGAAATATATATATATATATATATATATATATATATACATATACATACATACATACACACACATCCACACAATCTCACAGAAGTGAGTACATCCCTCACATTTTTGTAAATATTTTTTCTTTTCTTGTGACAACACTGAAGAAATGACACTTTGCTACAATGTAAAGTAGTGAGTGTACAGCTTGTAGAACATGTAAATTTGCTGTCCCCTCAAAATAAATCAACACACAGCCATTAATGTCTAAACTGCTGGAAACAAAAGTGAGTACACCCCTAAGTGAAAATGTCCAAATTGGGCCCAAATATGTCAATACTTTGTGTGGCCACCATAATTTTCCAGCACTGCCTTAACCCTCTTGGGTATGGAGCTCACCAGAGCTTCACAGGTTGCCACTGGAGTACTCTTCCACTCTCCCATGATGACATCATGAAGCTGGTGGATGTTAGAGACCTTGCACTCCTCCACCTTCCATTTGAGGATGCCCCACAGATGCTCAATAGGGTTTAGGTCTGGAGACATGCTTGGCCAGTCCATCACCTTTACCCTCAGCTTCTTTAGCAAGGCAGTGGTTGTCTTGGAGGTGAGTTTGGGGTCGGTATGCTGGAATACTGCCCTGCAGCCCAGGCTCCAAAGAGAGGGATCATGCTCTGCTTCAGTATATGATAGTACATGTTGGCAATCATGGTTCCCTCAATGAACTGCAGCTCCCCAGTGTCGGCAGCACTCATGCAGCCCCAGACCATGACACTCCCAACACCATACTTGACTGTAGGCAAGACACACCTGTCTTTCTACTCCTCACCTGGTTGCCGCCACACATTCTTGACATCCTCTGAACCGAATATGTTTATCTTGGTCTCATCAGACCACTGGATATGGTTCCAGGAATCCATGTTATTAGTCTGCTTGTCTTCCACAAACTGTGGGATTTCTGGTGCATCATCTTTAGAAGAGGCTTCCTTCTGGGACGACAGCCATGCAGACCAATTTGATGCAGTGTGCGGCTTATGGTCTGAGCACTGACAGGCTTACCCTCCCCACACACACCCCTTCAACCTCTCCAGCAATGCTGGCAGCACTCATACGTCTTTTTCCCAAAGACATCCTCTGGATATGACGCTGAGCACTTGCATTCAACTTCTCTGGTCAACCATGGCGAGGTCTATTCTGAGTGGAACCTGTCCTGTTAAACCGCTGTTTGGTCTTGGCCACCGTACTGCAGCTCAGTTTCAGGGTCTTGGCAATCTTCTTCTAGCCTAGGCCATCGTTATGTAGAGCAACAATTCTTTTTTACAGATCCTCAGGGAGGTCTTTTCCATGGGGTGCCATGTTGACCTTCCAGTGACCAGTATGAGAGAGTGATAACACCAAATGTAACACACCTGCTCCCCATTCACACCTGAGACCTTGTAACACTAACTAGTCACATGACACCGAGGAGGGAAAATGGCTAATTGGCCCCAATTTGGACATTTTCACTCACTTTTGTTGCCAGCGGATATATTTTTTACCTTATTTATGTCTGTAGTTTCAGTTATGAAAGAAACACATAGAAATCATTTCAACAAATGTCAGAGAAATAAATATTTTATTACAAGTATTTAAATGGTAGTGTATATATTATACATTTATTTCACTGAAACAGTTGTACGTTTACAAGAGATCACAAAAAAAAAAAAAGGTCAAGTCTACCAGTATCATACAGTACAAAACAATTGAATAAAGCACTTAAACGGGTCTAAGACCTGTGCTAACAGTCAGTGCCATCTGTTAACCCCTCAGTGCTGGGGCTACATCTTACTATATACAGCATGCCCACCAGACAAGGAGGGGTTAACCTGTGCAAACATGATATTGAAGGAATGCTTTGATAATAATTGTTCATCTGCCATTATTCCTGAGTGAGCAACTGTGATCGGTGTTTCTCCCGTAACTTGATTATTGTTGTTTTTGATAAACTTCCCGGGTCAACAAAGATTTTCTGAAGCAAAAAATAAAAGAATTCTATTTAGACAGAACAAGCATAAATTTACCTGTAAAGCTTAAAGTGAATTAACACCATTTTGTGTACTGTGCGCATGTGAAACACAAATGGTTTGTCTTTTGGACTATGACATTTGGTAAGAGTGCACAAGATATAAAGACCTCTCGAAAGGACAAAACTAAAACAGTGGCATTGTAAGTAGGTGTAAGGACTATGCTCACAATACATTTTTACTTACCTAAGTGAATGAGGTGAAGCTGTGCTGTCTTTAAACACTTAAGTTCAGAAGGTTTTACCCCCTTCATGACCAGGGCATTTTTTTTTGCTATTCAGCACTGTGCTACTTTAACTGGCAATTGCTCAGTCATGCAGCACTGTACCCAAATTAATTTATATAATTTTTTTTCCACACAAATAGAGCTTTCTTTTTGGTGGTATTTTATCACCACATTTTTTATATCTTTTAATATATAAATGAAAACAGACCAACAATTTTGGGAAAAAAAAAAATATTTTCTACTTTCGGTTATAAAACAATCAATCACATCAAATTTCTTCATAAATTTAGGCCAAAATGTATTCTGCTACATGTCTTTGGTAAAAAAAATAACTAAAAGTGTATATTAAATTTGTTTGTGTGAAAGTTGGAGCTTCCACAAACTATAGTATATATAGTGGAATTTATGAAGCTATAGATGCTATACTGGTAATGGCAGTGATCAGTGACTTAGAGTAGGACTAGGACAGCGTGGTAGGCAATCTGGCATTAACAGACACTGGCTGGGAGGGCCAGTAACTGACAGACTCCCGTTGCTAGTGACACTAATACAATGATCTGACATAATTCTGTCCACTGTATAAATGACACTGGCTGGGAAGGGGTTAAATGAGTGTCTAACAAGTGTAATAAGTGATGTCTTTACTTACAGATTTGACGTTTTTTTTTTTCTCCCTTTTTTGTAGGGAGAAGAAACAGCCAGACAGCTGTTCTGTGAACACAGTGTGTGTTTGTAAACATAGTACTCTATTCTGTGATTGGACACAGCTGATCAGCAGGTTTCAGCCAAAATCATTGGATGAAACCTGTTGACTAACTTGTGCTGTAATCACAGCACAGGGCAGGCAGGGGGCTCTTGTGCTCCCAAAAACCCAGAAGCAGGCGATGACATACAGTTATGTTGCCTAGTCTGCCAGAGTCGCTCACCCGCAATAAAATAAAACTATGGGTGGGCGGCATGTGGGTGAGTAAAACAAAGATTTATGTATGTACAGTAAAACATTTTTATTAGAGTTCATTCTTAGGAATCCAGAAACAGTTGGGCAATACTGCTGCCTACAGGAGGTTGGGTCATTGGCAAACAGAAAAATTGTAACTCAGTCTCTTTATAACCCCTCCTTTAACCAGCATGCCTCAGTTTTGTGATAAAGCAATACACAGGGCCAGCAAAAAAAAAAAAAAAAAAAAAAAAGAAGGGTGGGACCTGTGCCTTTCAATGGGCTTGTGGGAAGAGGGTTTTACAGAAAAAAAAACCCAAAACATATATGTAACGGAACCGGAACCCAGACCGCACTGAGTTTTTCCATTATACCACAGCTTCCCCTGTCCGAACACCATCCACGGACCACACTCTTGAAATCCCTCAGGAAAAAGACAGCACCCAGTTCTGCTTAAAACAGGAAGCCAACACATTATTTTAATACAAAACACAGGATATATACAGAGGGCAGGGAAACACAACCAGGAACAGGAAACACCATCATCACCCCCTCCCCATCCCACCAAGACACAGAACAATGGGATGAAACACATGGCAAAGGACATTGACCAACCCCCACACCAATACACAAACAGTACATCCCATAATAGTTGGCTGGACAGGAAGACACAGCACAATGGGGGGTAGCACATGGCAAACAGACAATGGACAGCCATGTGGCCGAGAACAAAGGAACACACACTATACACAAGACATTCACATACACACCCTGTACCCCTTAACAGGCACAGGGTGCCTTAAACATAATGGGAATTTGGGAAGATGATACAGAGGTCCCCCCACCCCCAAAAGTCACTCCCGTCACAATATATTTTGATCATCTTTAATTGAGGGACATCTTGAATTGAGAGACACCAGAATTCAGAACAGTCAGGACAGAGGTGGGCAACAGACCCAAGGTTTTGGAAATAGTCTGAAACACAGGAGGTACCTGAAGAACGAACACCCAAACATAGGCCAGATGAGGAGAAATCTAACAAGAAATCTGCCACAACCAAAGGGAAATTCCAGAGAATCAACTTGGTGCCCCAGACCAGGATAGAAATGTCACTGCCAAGGGGGAATGACATTACATAAGGAACACTGTGCCTGAGCCAGTGCAGGGCTAAGGGACCCTACAAGCAGTCCACCATAAAAGGTGAAACAACATAACCTGAAAATAAGGAACATATCAACAAGATCTGGTCAACAAAAGACCACTGGAATAACTGCTAGAATAACAGATCCCTGAAGGGAAACTGGGACAAACAGAAAAAACAATCCAAAAAGGAAAAGATCAGCTGCCCTATGTGAAGGCACATGCCTCACAATTCTAACCCTTCCAAGTAAGGGACAGGAGGTTCCACGATAAGAGCAAGGTTGCCACATGCAGGCAAACAACCTCCCACTGAGGTTACAATGAAACGTGACAGCCCTCTCATAATAATATCCAACAGATAGCCAAATAACTCCTAGACCGAGCAAAAAAGCCCAAATGGTACCTTTGTCTAGGCCATGTTATTACTTCTGGTATTAAGCTTTGAACATGCAGATTTAGGCTGCAAGTGGGGATGGGTAAGTAAATGAGAGTGAGGGAGTGCACAGGGCAGAGAACTGGACGGTCTGGGGAGGCTGTTATTTTACACAGTTCTAAGCACTGCTACCTTGCTGGGAAGGGGAAACACTCAACAGGTCACATCCAGACAGGCACAAATTAATCTGACAGAGGTGTTCCTCTTCTGTTATTTGCAGGCCTTGTTCCAGAACTCCCAGGCACAGTTAAACAGAGGGAGCCTGCATCTCTCAGCCAATACAGCTTTCCGATAAAGTCTGGGGGCTGGGGCTTTAACAGGCAGAGCTCCAGAAAGCGGAAGATCAGGTGGATAAACCCCTCACTTACATTTTTGTTCCATTTTCATTTGTTGATGAAAACTGAAATTGATTTTCATCATAGTCTTCGTCAATTGTCAAAAATTCGAATTGATTTTCATTTAGTTTTTGTCACTGAAGACATGCAGCTGATGAAAATATTTTTGTCAATGAAATTAACACTGCCCACAAAGGCCCCCAGATGTACTTTAGCCTCACTAGAGAGTACTGGCCAATAATCCCAGGGTTTCCTGCCTGCTGACATGGGGATCTCAGGACCATTCAGCGATGAATATTTCTTGTCAAACAGGAGATGAGTGTCCAGGTGCAGAATCCTCCTTCTGTGTGGAGGCCCCAGTGAAGAAGAGCCATATGGTGATGCCTCATCTCTAGCGAGGACAGTGCGGTCAAGAGTAGCACACTTGGTGCTGTCCACTGTAGAAGCCAGCTCACTTGACCTGTTACAGGGAAAGCTCCCAGTCCTTCTCAGAGGTGAAAACCCAGCAACACATACGCATTGTCCAACACAGACCAGGTCAGAACAACACAGGAGGATCCCTTGACAAAGCAGGAACTGTATTCTGGAGAACAGCACTGAAGAAAGATGTCCAACCTCCTAAGACACTAGCAACAAACTGAGGAATGCTGGGTAGAGAAGGGACTAGCAGCATAACCCGAGTGAACTCATGTCCCTGGACAAAAAGAGAAATACTGTTTCTTAAATTTTCCTTGCACATGATTGGGTGAATCTTCACTTAGTTTTATCTCATTCACCAAGCTAAGTGACAATCCATTTGCTCTACTCCTTAAGTAACTATCAAGCACTGTTACCTATACCATTTTGTCTACAAACTCTGGAACAGCTATAGATGAAGTTCATATATCCATATCCATATGAAATACCTGCATGAAGAGGTGGCATTCTGTGACCAATTGTCCTTTAGTTATTTCCTTAAACTTGTCACACACATCTGGAAAGTTTCGGCCTTCCAATATGAAAGCTTGGTACTGTTTTATTAGTGTTAAGGCTACTCGAAAAAATTATTTTTGATCCCTCGTAGAATAAACAGTCCCATATTCGTAACACAGTCTGTGAAGTACAAGAACAATCAAAATTCATTATACTTTTTTGACATTTTGCAATCTTACATTATAATTATAAGCTGGCAACATTCTACAGGATCTCAGCAACTTAGTTCCATCCTCCATGCACCTTAGACCCCATTCACACCTCAGCGTTTCGATGCTTGAAGTTCAAAGCTCAAAAACACTCAACAAGCCAAAATTACGTTTTCAATACCCCATGTTTTGTCAGCAACTGACTTGACACTCAAAATAGTACATGAGCTACTTTTCAGACAGATTGCAGAACTTCTGGGCCCACTGACATTCATTGAAACATGCCAATACTGTACGTGCAACACATGTTTACAAGTTTTCTGGCAAAACCGTAGCTCTCCTCCCCCTCGTGCTTTCTATTAACTAAAAAACAAAAATGCCTGAATTTTGAATCTGCTTGTAATATATTTCTGAAACACTCTAAAAACTTGAAGTAAAAAAGCCTGCAAATCGATCTGCTCTGGTGTGAATACAGCCTTTGTTTCTGCAAAAAGATTCTTTGAAGAATGCAGCCGCTGTATAGTGTATAAAGATAAATAGTATGTCTGTGCAGAAACCGCTCTACAGCATTAAACACAGTATGCAGATCCTCTCTCCCTGGATTGAGGAAAGAAGCCAACACTAAAGTGGGCATAAACTTAAAACAAGTGAAGCTTAGCTCTGTTATAGACATCTATACATAATAATTGTGCCTAAGCTATACCCTGAAAATGTGCATTGAATTCCTCCTGAAAAATAACAGCGCACTTCCAGATATCCAAGGGGGTGCCTCGGCACTCCTGGGCCCTCAGTCTCATTGCTTTATTTCAGCATTGTGATATCTATGGTACTGTTGCCCCTGACTGCTAGTTTTAGGAGACTTGGTGATGTATTGGGCAGCACAGTGGCTAAATGGTTAGCACTTCCACCTGACAGTACTTGGGTTGTTGGTTCGAATCCCAACCACGGTACCACCTACCTGGAGTTTGTTCTCCCTGTGTCTGCATGGGTTTCCTCTGGGTACTCCAGTTTCCTCCCACATTCCAAAGTCATGGTGGTAGGTTAATTGGATCCTGTCTAAATTGGCCCTAGTATGTGTACGTATGAATGAAAGTTAGGGATTAGATTGTACGCCCCTTGAGGGTTAGGGACTGGTGTGAATGTACAATATATATGTAAAGCACTGCATAAATGCATAAATTGGACGGCACTATATAAAGTGCCTGTAATAAAATAATGTCACTACTGTGCGGTCCATTCACCAATATTTCCATAGCATGAAATGACAATGAGTACCCTATTGCGTCTCTAATGTAGAATGTAGTTGTTATCTTGGTATATGTTGGTAATGTTCCTTAGGTTGTAAACATTTTTAAAACAAACATTCTGTTGTGAGAGAAATATGTGGGCAGCAATTTCTGATGACAGTCTGGTTGTCATGTTGATCCTTTGGTTTTATTACGCCAACAAAAAATACATAGCCAGAACTCTTGATCTTCATAATTGCTCCAGGTCAGCAATTTAAGGTATTGAAGTCCATGATCAGCATGGTAGCCAGATCACAAGCATTTTCAGAAGAGGTTCTTTACTATTCAAATGGCCAATTTTGTACAGTCATTATTGTAAGCGAGATGCAGCAGTATCCACTTCCTTGAGACTTTTCTATATCTTGTAATGTTACAAACTGAAATTCATATTGGCATTTTAGCAATGGATTTATAGGACATATTTAACATGTAAAATATTTTTAACAAAGTTATGCTTAGTTGGCATTTAACAGGCAATACTTGGTAGAACCACCTTTGGCTGCAGTTACAGCTGTGAGTCTTTAGGGGTCAGTCTCTACTAGATTTGCATATCTGGATACTGACTATTTTTTTAATTCTGTTTATTCTGGATACTGACATTTTTGATCAATCTTATTGACCAAATATTGTTCTGTCAGGTTGGATGGAAACCATTTGTGATCTGCATTTTTTTTAATACTTGCCACAGGTTCTGAGTTGCATTGATGCCATTTTAAGAACTTTAGTTTCTTGGCTTTAAAATAACTTTATTGTAGCTTTGGCTAAGGGTTCAGGCTCATGCCTCGAACACATTTCCACCAACCGCTGATGAAATTATAACCAACATAAAGCTACGACTGCCATGCATTACTGCAGAGAGCTAGTCCCACATGGTAAACAGCAAAGTGTCGACCAGAAAACCCTTATTCCATATAGTAACTGTTTGCGATTTTCCTCATTTCTTAGTATATAGTCTAATATACATTTAGTATACAGTTGTGCTCAAAGGTTTTGCATACCCTGGCAGAAATTGTGAAATTTTGGCATTGACATTGAAAATATGACTGATCATGCCAAAAAATGCTCTTTTACTGAAGGGTGATGATCATATGAAACCATTTATTATCAAATAGTTTGGCTGCTTTTTATATCAGAATAACAGAAATCACCCAAATGGCCATGATCAAAAGTTTACATACCCTGGAATGTTTGGCCTTGGTACAGACACACAAGGTGACACACACGGGTTTTTAAAATGCCAATTAGAGGTTAATGTTCCACATCTGTGGCTTTTTAAATTGCAATTAGTGTCAATGTATAAATAGTCAATGAGTTTATTAGCTCTTACGTGGAAGCACTGACTAGGCTAGATACTGAGCCATGGGGATCAGAAAAGAACTGGCAAAAGTCCTGTGTAACAAGGTAATTGAACTTTATAAAGATGGAAAAGGACATAAAAAGATGTCCAAAGCCTTGAATATGTCAATCAGTACTGTTAAATCACCTATTAAGAAGTGGAAAGTTCGGGGATCTCTTGATACCAAGCCAAGGTCAGGTAGACCAAGAAGGATTGCAGCCATAACTGACAGAAGACACCACTGTAGGCACCATGCTTTGTACTCCTCACCTTTGCCATGCCACACAGTTTTTAAAGCCATCAGTTCCAAAAACATTTATCTTGGTCTCATCATTCCAGAGTACAGAATCCCAGTAGTCTTCTTTTTCAGCATGGGCCCTGGCAAATTCTAGGGGGGCTGTTTTGTGCATGGGCTTTAGGAGAGGCTTCCTTCAAGGATGACACCCATGCATGCCATTCCTCTGCAGTGTACGCTATATTGTGTCACAGGAAACAATCACCCCAGTTTTACTTTCTACTTTAGCTAACTGCAGTGAACATGCATGGCGATTTTCTTCAACCCTTCTCATCAGAAAATGCTCCGGTCAAGGTGTTAACTTCCATGGATGGTCTGGATGTCTCTGTGGGATGGTTGCAGTTCCAACTTTGCTAAATTTTTGTATCACTGTTGCTACAGTATTCTGACTGATAAGTAACTCTTTGCTGATCTTGTACCTTTCACCTTTCTTGTGTAAAGAAATGATTTTGTTTCTCAGGCCTTGTGGTGCCATTGCTCACTGCATAAAAAGGAAGGGTTTTTTTTTGTTAAGTAACGCCCTTTTATAATCAACTGTCTGATGGACACCTGTTTAATGAATAAATTAGACTCACCTGTAATTGAAGTCTTGTTAGTTAGGATTTTGCTGTTTAAAATTTAGCTTTGCTCCTTCCCCTAGGTTCACACCTAAGCGTTTTCCACAGCATTTTGCAGAAACGTACTACAGTCTATTTAACATGATTTCATATGGGACTGGTTCACAGCTCCGCATTTTCTCCTGGTGCGTTTTTTGGAAAGATTAAGGACTTTTTTGCATTTTTGGTTTTATAGACTTCAATGGAAACGCTGCAGAAAAGCATGTAGTGCGTTTTTGCGGTGTTTTCCATTTTAAATCTGCCTAGCAACAAGAAAAAAGCAAAAATGCATGTGCAAAAACGCAAAATGCACTGCAAAATGCACTGCAGAAACAGATCAAACACAAACTGCATAGGTGTGAACCTAGCCTAAGACTTTCATTGGGGTTTATTCATTTTTGCAACATGGTCTTGAATGACTGTTAGGAAAAATACTTTCCTGTGTGTGCAAATTAACAAATCGTGTTTGCAACCAATGGCCTGCATTTGTGGGGAGTATTTTGTAGTATAGTAGGGAAAGGAATAGAGAGAGATTAATACCAGCAGAGTCCAGGCCTAGGTGGAATCTGTGGAATTCATTTTTTTACAACACTTGATTGGACTATTTTGCGTAGATCAGTGACATAAAAATCACACTTTGATTTCAGGTATTAAAATGACAACATTTGGAAAACTACAAAAGTGGAAAATATTAGCCAAGAATCATAAGAAGAAACAAATCTTAGCTGACTTACCTCTACTGGAAGGATGTCTATGAACAAGCAAATAAACCAACGGGAAACCACAAGAGTCCACATCACTCCAAGTTTCTCCATTAAATCAGCCACAGCTGGGATCTTCAGTTTTACAAAGTCTCCCAGTACTTCCTGGTCTACTTTAAGACCAGTCATCGCAGAGCTGTAATAGTCTAGTTAAATTAAACAAAATCCATCATTAGAACAATGAAATGTGTCTAAAATTATGCATTTAAAATACCATCCATCCTAAAGTTTAAGAATATTAGAAGTCCAATAGCTGAAAGAGACAGTCCAAGTATATACAGGTCACAAAGCTCTACAACGGTCTCAACTTCAAAATGCTCGTCACAGAATTTCTTCTGGCTGTGATTCAGGCCTGCAGGTGTCAGACAAAAAACTCTGCATGTCTAAAAGGATCAGAGCATTTCCCCCAGACTTTTTTACTGTGATTTTCATTTAAAGTGGTAGTAAAGTCCGGTTTGTGATTTTTAACTGAATAACTTTGATAATAAATTGTATAGAACACCTAAACGTGCACAGTTTAGAAGATATTCGCTGTTTTTGGCAGTCGGTGCATGTGCTCTGAATGAACGGTATGCCCGTGCCGTTCCTTCAGAGCACTATGCCAGGGCCTGTGACTCCCGTGCACATGTGTGGGAGTGAAGTCATCGCGGCTCGGCCAGTCAAGACGGCTGGAGCTCATGAACATGGCAGGAATACCAGAGGAAGATGGAAGCCCTGTCAGAGGTAACAGCGCACCGTTGGACGGCTTAATTTTAAAGTATTTCATAATGTGCAAGTATGCGATGCATACTATAACATTATGACATTGCCTTGCAGGGGATTTATTTATTTATTTTTATTCTGAGTTTACTACTGCTTTAAGGTATCAATCCGTGGCATTATGTTTGGTCTAACTGCACTTTTTGTCCCAATGTGGATGCTGAAGTTCAACTTGATGGACCCCAATTACCAGTGTCCACATTGGGAAGAAAAGTGCAGTTAGACCAAACATAATACTCTGTAAAGTCACACTGCTGGAGGTGAGCAGAAAACTGTCAATAGATCTGGAAACCTTGAAAAAACATGAACATCTGCATTTGACCTAAGATTTTTGCAAGTAAACTGGAACTTTAGACAAATATCCAAATATTCAGGTTAAACACACCAATCAGTCATAACATCAGGACTACTGAGAGGTAAAGTTAATAACATTATCTTGTTACAATAGCACTTGAAGGTGGGTGAAATATATTAGGTAACAAGTGAACATGTTGTCCCCGAAGTTGATGTGATGAAAGCAGAAAAAAAGGGCAAGTGTAAGAATTTGATCGACTTTGACAAGGGCCAAAATGTAATGGCTAGATGACTGGGTCAGAGCTACTCTAAGACTACAGCTCTTGTGAAATGTTCCTGGTCTGCAGCAGTAAGGACCTACAAAAAGTGGATCAAGGAAGGAAAACCGGCAAACTGGCTACAGGGTCATGGTTGGCCAAGGCTCATTGATGCACATGAGGAGCAGAGGCTGGCCCATGTAGTGCGATCTAATAGAAGAGCTATTGTACCTCAAAATTGCTGAAAAAGTTCATACTGGTTCTGATAGAATGGTTATCAGAATATACAGTGCATTGCAGTTTGGTGTACAGTATATGGGCTGTGTGGCTGCAGACCAGGCAGTGTGCCCAAGCTAAACTGTGTCCACAGACAAAGGGACCTACAATGGGCACATGAGCATCAGAACTGGACCACAGAGCAAAGCAAAATAGCTGGCCTGGTCAGATGAATTACATTTTCCTTTAAATCATGTGAATGGCTGGATGCTGAGCAACAAAAAACAAACAAAGCAAGCCAGCACACTTCTGTGCATCACCTACAGATAAACAATGTGAACAATCCAGTAATATTGTGCAGCGCTAAAAATTACATGAGCATGAATAAAAAAAGGTTTTAAAACATGTAAGTGTCCATAAATTAAATAAAATTCAATCTTCAAAAACTTCCAAAAGTCTGTGTGATAATCTAAGTATCAAGTTACAGCGATATAAAATTTCAATCTCCTCCAACATCACACGCATGTAAATGAATCTGCTCACCTTAAATTATAACCTCCAAATTATAGGCAGTTACACAGTTTTGGAAATACGAGAGTAAACCAGCATCCCCACAATTCCACCCTCAATGACAACAGAGAAAATCACACTCCACCCTCTGAAGAAGTCCCATCCAAGGGATGCAACATGCAAGAGCGGAACGTATGGAGTGACTTCATCACCCATGGCTGTGCGTGGTGTACTCTGCTAATTTTTTCTGATTTTTAGGTTTTGCTGGCGTTTGTATGTATGTGCATTTATTTTATGAACAATAATATGTTTTTACGGAGAGCATTATATGTGATTATATTGCTTTGAGGGGCTTGTACCACTGAAATGGAGTGGATTTTGTGGACACAAATGAGAAAAAGCTGGAACAATATTCCTGATTATCATTGAGGGAGGAATTGTTGGGATGCTGGTTTATTCTCATATTTGTGTTGTTGTGATGCCTCTTATATTTTGGAAGATATATAGGGGGCAAATATGAAAACATTTTTTTTCTCGGGGAAGGAAGAGTGGGGGGGGTAGAGTTCAGCTTTCTCAAAATTGCTAGAGGTACACAAGATGGTGACCTTTGCACCTGCTCAGCAACATTGGCTACAGGAGCGTTTTCTGAAATCATTGGGTCTGTGTGCAAGATCATAAGTTGGGCTATCCTGTCTGCCGTGATGAGGCAAAGATTGCATGTGGTTTTCATTGCTCTGAATATTGGCCATGGCTTAAAAGGGACACAGACTGCAGGGGTTCAGTAATAAGTTGTGCATGGGTTCAGCAGTAAATTATGCCGAGTTTCAGCAGTGAGTGAAGCAGAATTCAGGGGTCAGTAGTAGATGACGCAGAGCTCAGGGGTCATCGGGGTACTGGAAGGCTGCACCAGGGGTGTGGAAAGTTTTTAAAAAACAACTTGTCCAAGGGACTAAATCAGGGTCCCAATCTACTTGTCCCTCATGACAATCTACTTGTCTTGATTAAAAAAAAAAAAAAAAAAAGGTTTGATGTTTTTATTATGCAGAGGTGCCGTTAGGAATGTCTGGGGCTTTTAAAAATGAAAGAGGCTTTATTTCTACAAAGTTGACATTGCTGCTTCTGCGAATGCTAGTTTTGGCCTTAAGGTTTTGCAGGCAGTAGTTTTTAGTTCTGCTGAGGTGTGGTTCTACCTTTTTAATAGGTTTGATTGAATACCTTTGTGCCCACCCTCTTTCTTCTGGCCCCGCTATGGGAAGTCCCTCTGGTCACGATCCAAAGATCTGACTGTGTCCTTCAACAAACAGAATGAAAAGTGGGATTTTTGTACTCACCATAAAATCCTTTTCTCTGCATTACTGAAGGACACAACACCCATCCTCTTGAGTGCTTTTGTCTTAGCTGTTCCTATTTTATTGCTGACTACCAACAGAACTGTGTGTTGAAGATGGTGGTTTGGGCACCAGCAGTGGCTGCCCTGAGAGTGTACCTAGCATCTTACTCTTGCAGGTGCAGTAATAACCCATTTGTCATGATCCTTTGTCCTTCAATGAATGGAGAAATAAAGTTTTTAACAGAAAGTACAAAAATCAATTTTTCATAGCAAGAATCAAACTGGGAAGCATGGTGATGTAAATGTTATGGTTTAGAGTTGCATAGCTGTTTCAGGGTCTGGGCAACTTGCAATCAAGTTAACTATACATTCTGCATCATATCAAAGTGTGCTTAATGAGAATGTGAAGTAATTTGTCCAAAGGTTTAAGTTAAATCAGGAAAAGGTCAATCACCACAATATTTATCCAAAGCACACCAGCAAACCCACCAAGGATTGGCTCAAAAAGAAGAAATAGAAGGTAAAGAACTGTCCAGTAAAACCCTCTTTAATTCTCAATGAAGCGAGATTTTGAAAGAGCAGTTCATGCAGGGAAACCCACAAACATTTTCAAAGAAATTTGCATGGAGTGGTCAAAAAGTTCACAGAGTTGATGTCAGAGACTGGTGGGCAGTCATTTTTTTTCCATAATGCACTATTACATCTACTGATACTTTTATTGAAAAGGCAACTTTTTTTCTTGTGTTCTTCACCTATCATATCACCTTTATCTACCTGCACTGTTCGGTTCCTGATGATTGCCTATTCAAATATGTTGAAAAAGTCAACTATGTCCATGGGGTATACCGTATATTCCGGTGTAAAGGATGACTTTGTAACCTTAAAAACATCCCCCAAAAATGGGGGGGGGGGGTCATCTGATACGCTAAGTATAAAATGTGAACCTTATCTCCTTCACTCTCGGTGGCTGGGCCTTGACGCGGAGCGGTCGCATATTTGCGTAATGTTTGTAAGCCTGTTGGTGTTTTTGTACATGTGAATGAAAAAGGTTGGATGGATGAAGAAGGGATAAAGCTATGGCTTGATAATGTATGGAGTAGGCGACCAGGTGGACTTCGTCAAGAACATAGCCTACTGGTGTGGGATATGTTCAGGGCCCATTTAACTCCCAGCACAAAGAAAAGGCTGGCAAGAAAAAAAACACAGATGCGGCAGTTATTCCTGCAGGATTGATATCGTTGGTACAGCCACTGGATGTGTGCCTAAACAAGCCATTAAACAAGGCATACCCCTTTTGATAACGTTCCATAGCACGAAACACGTTAAGGAGGAGCCCTAACGTGGTGACGCCACGCCGCAGGAGCCGCACGTGAGGTCCGGCGGCCATCTTGGTTAGTGGCTGTTACAGCCAATATTATCAGCTCTGCATTTTTTATTATTCACATTTTTGCATGCTTTTTACCTTTTTTTAGAGGATTTCACATCCTCAACCTATGTAACGAGGATTACTAATAAATTGTTGAAGTATATGAAAATACTACACTATCAGTTTTTTCTACATATGGCTTGGCTTTGAGCCATCTGCTCGGTGAGACCCCCAGTGGAAGAGGAGCTGTACTAGAGGCTAGTGTCCGGACAGAGGATCCACACTCCTGGCAGGCTGACTGACCTTTAAAGGGGACCCCACAGAGAGCTTATATCTAATGCACTAAATTCCTGTGCATCTGGTGAGTGTGCAATTTATACAGATTGGAGCACGGAGTTACTATTATATTGAAAA